ACTACAGATTAATCGACTTTAAACACCTTTCTAACGCCTGGGCATAGCATATTGGAAAACCGTTTTTTTGCGCTTTTATGTGTCACCAATGGCCCGTACCGATCCAGCACCCCTCGAGGATGTCCCTCGTGGGGACCTTTGTCCAGCTATCCGTGGCCAGTTCTTTGACATTTCGACTACAGTTCATGGTACAAGGCATCCAAGGCGGTTTTCGGCTGGGTCTGTGGATGTTATTCCCGTCGGCAGTACGGTCGAAGGTTCCAAACGATGACAGGAAAATTATTAGGTCTCTATTAAAGACGATGTATCAACTTCTTCCGAGCTTCCGCCCCCGAATAATCCCGAAGATTTGTTTGCGTTTATGGGGAGACACCCTGCCCCAGATTAGCTCCGTATACTGCACATGTATAACTCATTCAATACAACAGTTATCAGACTTCCATCTCCTATTCATGAGCTCGAACAGGGGAATATGGACTCCCACAGTCCAATCAGCGGCCTCGCACTGATTTCTCGGGGGTCCTATTTTTGCGTCCCGATTGTAAGCCTAACACTTACCCCAGCGCTAGCACTCAAAAGCCAGGGTGTCGGGCGTATAACCAAAAGAGCACGAGTTCGAGCCGCGTGTGTCCCCGAATTAGGGGTTGGATGTGGTTGTCACCTCCGTATCCCTTGTCGTTGTCGGTGGTCTCCCCCTGTATATATTGCTAGTCGCTGCACGACTGCCCAGGGGGCCCTAGATCGAACCCAAAGCACAATGGAACGAGTGTGGCCGGTGAGCGTTCTCTACCGTAGCTAACTACAATCCCAACCCTCCTAACACTAACCATAACCCTAATCCTAATCATCTTACCCCTAAAAATGAGTCCGCCATCAGCCCTACCGCTTACCCTAACCACCTAGGAATTTAGGGCAGAGCTACCTGTAATACGGTGGGAATCGGTAGTCACATTCCTAATCCTTTAAGTTTGGTTATGGGGAGACACCTTGTCCGAGATGAGATCCGTGTACCGCACGTGTAAAACCCCTTGACTACAGCAGTTATCAAACCTCCAATATCCTCTTCAAGAGGGAGTATGGACTCCGCCAGTTCTACAGGCGGCCTTGAACTGAATTCCCAGGATTCCTATTCCTGTGTCCCGACTGTAACCCTAAAACTTACCTTACGGCTAACGCTCAAAATCTAGGACGACGGACGTATAACCAAAAGAGCACGGGTTCGAGCCTCGGGTGTCCGCAAATCGGAGGTTGGGTGTGGCTGGCTGACGACGGCTAAGAAGTCAGAAATGGCCACCCCAGTTTCCCGTGTCGCTGTCGGTGGTCTCCTTCTGCATGTATTACTGGTCGCTGAGCGACTACCTACGCGACTCTGGACCGAGCCCCAAAACATAGCGGGACGAGTGTGTCCCGCAACGAGATCGGTGAGCGTCCTCTACCGTAGCCAACTGTAGTCCTAACCCTCCTAACACTAACTCTGATGACAATTCTAATCCCAACCACCTTATCCTTGATCCTAAAACCAAGTCCATCAGCCCCCCAGGAATTTCGGGCAAGGTCAACTGTAACAGGGGGGTTGAGGGAGAGGGGGGGGGAGATTCATATCAACATGCCTAATCCTTCAAGTCTCAGTACTGAAAAGCGCCGGCCGTGCGGAAGTCGCGCTTAAAATGTTAGCCCTTGGAACAGAACCGTGCTGAGGATGTTGGTCACAGAACTTTTAACATTACCTTTTCCAGGACACAGAAAATAAACGTCTGGGCTGTTTTAGGTGGGATAGAGTCAGTGGCATTCTCACTTTAGGCCTTGGACATAATGTTGTGTCCTTTTGGAGTAAATCAGTGCAAGATGTCAAACAATGGAATGGGTCAGAAACGGAGAAGACGATGACAAAGCAGATGAAGAGGACAAAGGAGGGAAGGAAAAAGCCTATTTGTCAAGGTGGCTGGTTGTTTAAGGAGTAGTTTCGCTCTCAAAGCCTGTACAAGGAGGGTTTTAAGTAGATCAGTCGGCAGATGCATTTAGTGCTAGAAAAAAAAGAGTCTCAGGCCAGCATTTGGGAATAGTTGTGGGCAGTTTCCCATGCGAAGCTGTTAGATGAACCCAGACGATTCTAGATTGACCAATAATAAAGTAGAAAATACGCACTACTGTTTAATATTAAATAGCACAATATTATACCTTTTTAAACTAATTGGTGTCCTTCGGAAGGATTCACTGGAAATCTTACAGAAACTTGACAGTCACAGCAAAATTAAACGAGGAAATGATAAGTCGTTAATAGTCTCTGGCGATGATTGGTATGCATGGTATGAAGAATAGGACAGACCCAGTTCAGTGAATAAAGACATGCGGGACCGAAAGTCACCATCAAATAAAAATAAAAGACATTGAGAACAAGCGCAAATTAATTAGGACATGGGGAATGAGGCGAGGGGATTGCACTCTTATGACTTAAGCCGACCTTTGGGTCTGGAAAGAAAAAGTCCTTGGGGTTTCTCTTCTGATGCATTAACCATCACCTCGTCAGTCTTGAAAAATTACCGATGATATTTCGAGGTAGTTCCAATGTCTCAGGGAGATTGAAACGGCTGCGCCTTTTGCCTGTGCTCCTTCCGCCTTCTTTGCGCTTCCATGGGAAGTCAGGCATAAAGACAAATTGTCTTGATAGGTTATCAACAGAGTTTCTGAGGTGACGGGCAAATAAAACCTATTTCAGGGTTACGTGGGAGCAGCGTTCTCGGGTCTGGCCCAACTAGAAGACGAAATAGGGGCGTCCCATTTTACTTGAAGCTTCGGTCGTGTGCAGGCGAGCAATCAGTAATGGCAGTGTTTACAAATAAGACATCGGCCGATGATAATCCAACCCCGATGCGAAATCGGGTCCACTTGTTGATGTAACCAGAAGCTCCACCGACTGGATCATGGATTCATTTTCAGGTCAGTTGTGATTAGGAAGATTCGAAGTTAAGCAGGACTTGCATTCCTCCCTCTGCGTGATCAATGTAAGAAGTATGTGCTTTATGTTTGTATTTGAGAAGCAGTTTAGAGTGTTCTCAGGCCGTCGCATATCGGCGGGAGCCTAGTAAACTGGTGGTTTTGTCGAAAAAGACGAAGGAGACTTTAATGGCAACTCACTGTTTACCCTTCCCGCAGGCAATCCTTACTCATTGCTACGTTGGAGCTCCAAGACAAGTATACAAACTCTCATTACAGCCTGCTAATAGACCGAAGCATCAGTCTCATGTGATCTAAAATCTTCCTCACTGCGGCGAACCTGGTATGGATGCGTGGTTCAGCAGTCAAAGAATTCTGTTAAATGACATGCTGGACCCCAGTCAAAATCCCAGGGAACTCCAACCTAGACTTAGAGTTTGACTGGCTTAAACTAAAGCCGAGCCGGAAATGGTTATCTCGGTCCAAATTGCTGCTGCAAGCCACACAAACCGATGGGGTTCTCGCTGAGTACTGTCTGGACAATCTGCCCTAGTGGTAGAGGGACGCTCACCGATCGTTTTACGGAACGCACTGGTCCCGTTGTGCCTCAGGGCTCTTTCTCGAGACCAACCAGCAACCACCCTGGCATCAATGTGTTTAGATGAATAATTGCCTATGAAATCGAATTTTATGCGGTAAATATTGAAGTCACACTGTGTTTGCTTGCTGTACATTTCCATGTCTCCTTCCAAACCGGTTGGAAAGGTTGTCAAAGTATTTGTGATATCGACAGATTAGGTTCATTATGATGTTGCCGAAAGGCCACGAGAAGCTTCGGTGATATTACAGTACGTATTTCAGCAGAGTGACTTATTTAAAACTGTTCTGATACCGCCGGACTTACAGACCCTACAAGCATATGTAGAACAGGTAGTTTTAGGACTTCCTTAAGTTGGGTAGCCCTCTAACTCAGTGCATCGGAAATGATTTTGACTCATTACGTGCTCGAAAAGTGAGTTTTCATCATAGCACACCTTTGAACGTGGCAGAGCCCAGAAAGCTGCAGCCAAGCGCAGTAGTCTGTCATTAACAGGCACCTAGCGGAAAATGCTGACGTCTTCACCACCACCATCATTGAAAGATGGAAACTAGGGAAAATATGGATTTGTTTCGATGTCCACTTGATGTCATTTACCAGTATAAAGGCACCTCAAGAAATTATTTTGCCTTTGAAAGTGTGCACCCTCATAGGGCCTCGCGTACAGTCAAAGTACTAGGGACGTTTTGCGAAAACGCCTTCGTAGTAGTTGAAAGGGAATCTATAAGAGGCACGGCGCCAAGCCTTGACAAGCGTGAGAGAAACGGTGCCTGCTACTGGCAACGACACCGAATTACTTCGCACCCTTCCAGAACTCATTATTCAAGATGAAATTAAGGAAAACGTGGGCAAAAGTAGCAAATATTGGAGGAGTAACGTATCAGCACGCTATCCGTACATTCACAGCACGATGGCTGGCAATCCACGGCGGCTTGTGGGGTTTGTAAATTGTTAACAAACGTTCACTACATGCCTACTAAAAAATTCAAAGCAATGCCTTTTTAAAAATAAAACGTTTATAAGTGGACTTGCTGAAGATTGATACGCTCACCTTGTCTCTGAGCAAGAGAAAAACGGATAGCTCGAAAATTTGTCTTCATAAGTTAGAACACAGGAATAGTCACATTTCGCAAAAAAAGGACGTCAAAAACGTCTTATACACCCAATAGGCCTCCAGTTTCAATGAAGGAAACTAATGGAGACCGACAACTTCCCACCGTAGGCTTGCATTTAAAAATAAATCACCGCAGTACGAAAGAATAGAAAAAGTGATAGCAGCAGTCGAGGGGGTGACCAGATGAATGCAACGCGTTGAAGGAGAGTACACTAATGGAATGCCTACGTGCAGCGGTTTCATAGCACAAAAAACGGCAGACGCCACTACTTCTAAGGGAGGTGGGAGAAGGCGCTACTTACTCATCCTCGTGTGTCAGCATGGTAAAAGACACTTACGCAATAAGCATCTCCATCACACGCCGCCGCCGCCGCCGCCGCCGCCGCCGCCGCCGCCGCCACCACCACCACCACCACCACCACCACCACCACCACCACCACCACCACCACCAACTCGGTTCGAAGATCGTCTGTCACCTCAGGTGCATCTATTAGGCGAAATAACACCATATTTCTGACCCATAGCTATAAAAACTGTAGGTAGGTCGTTAATGTTGGTGAATCCGGCAAACAGGTCCACGCGAGGTTACGTGAACGTGAGTTCATCGTGAGACGGAAAGGTAAAGTCTTCCTGGTACCCACCCACTCGTTCTCGCCATGGTACAACTCCGACTTCGAGTCTGTGAAAATCTTGGACAAATCGGATGACCGAATTTCACGTCCGCTGCAGGAAGTGTGGCATTAGACTGGGTACTCGATCAATGGGCGCATCAATCTGCCAGCCGCATATCAGACATTGAGCTGATGAATCAGCGGCGCAGTTGAAGGCCGTCCTCTGCGGAGGTGAGTTAGATATGTAATGGGCTGTATAATTCCTCCGTTTCTTGGCGATGAGCTTGCATGATAGTTCAAAACGTCGGAAGAATAAAACATTGGTCCCAGAGGTTGCCTCATCGTTTTCTATTCAGTTGACTGGGCCTCGCATGTTATTTAACATTCGGAGTATGTACAGTAGGTGGGCCAACTCATGAAATGTCAACCGAAATTCCGAAATGCGTTTTCGTTTCGAAAAGATTAATTAAGCAGGATTGTAAAACTAATCAGCCTGCAGTATAATTCTGTAATAATTCAGTTACCTCAGGATGCAGGCTTTCAAAAGAAATTGCTTACGGCTGCATACAAAAACTATACTCTGTAAAAATGACTGTTTAAGTAGCATGTATTTTTCTCTTTGATTTTCGATGCCCATAAAAGTCCAATTATATTTCAAGGAAAACATGAATAAAACTATTCATTCTCCCGCTCATTCAGTAGAAAATTATGTCTTCTTGCAATTTTATACTCAAAGGAAGGGTATTATTCGGTTTTCAAAAACGTTTCCAATTTCCGAATAATTTTGAACCCGCTCTGCCGTCACACGTGCATTCAGGATTTCCAACCTACATGCCATGTATTTTCCGCGTACGGAAAACCACACATTTCTCTACGGTATTGAGGGGAGACCATATGGGTTCATGAAATTTGGCATTGGATATCATCCATATTTTTAACTTTACAAACCACATTAATAAATGCAGAGACATGACGTTTTATGAACGGTCATTTCACGGTATTAAAAAGTCTCATAACTAGAAACTTTTTAAAACCCGATTATGTCCCTCGGAAATTGAAAAAAAAGTCTTCTTAAAAACCCAATGACACCTTTTTGACGAAAGAGTTAAAAAGGACATAATCTATTACCAGAGGGCACAAAAGCAATAACTTTTGTGCAGTTTTTGTAGAAGATACAGTTGAAACTAATAGGAGGGGGGTCAAAAATAAACGGGAAAAATGTATACTACATTGCCGGTCATTTTAAATCAGGCGAGGTTTTTGTACACAACCTGACTGAGGCTCACCCAAAAGCCGGCATTCTGGAGTGTGTGAGAGAGCAATCCATTATATTTCAGGTTTTCGGTCGACATTACGGGAGAAAGGCCACCTAATGTGATTACAACATTACTAACATTACCGACAAAGACAAAGGGGGCTGGAATGGCCGTTTATGACTTATTAGTCGTCGTCAGCCAGCCATATCCAACCCCGTGATGGGCAGCCCCTGGGGCTTAATCTCGCGACCTGCCGGTTAGGATTCATATGCCCTAACCACTGTGCCAAGGGCTCGTCGCCCCGTCAGTTGCGATCCGGCATATACAATGGTAAGGAGGGGCGGTCTGTGAGCGTCATTTCTACCTTAATACATATTTTTGATTTTTAGTTAACGTTTGAGGAAATAGGCCACCTACTGTGAGTATATGCATGCATATACAACCACGAATCAAAGCAAAAACTATGGAAGATGCGCTTGGTCGACGAGGTGGAAGCCATGTGCACGCTAATCACACAAATACTATTTTCAAATTTCAAATTAACCAGCCTTAGGAAGTGGTCAGTCATGAATAGAGCTACTTGCCAGTAAATCCGGAGGAGAAGAGCCTGTGAAAGTCGTCGTCTGCGATTTCCGGCGCAGACGCTCATCCAAAACGCTTCTCAAACGACTGTCTTCGTCGCACGTGACTTAACGCCAGTCGGCGCTGCACCCCTCGTTGATTGGATGCAGACGGACAAAGTCCAGGTACGCACATGCACTTTGGGCCGGAGCTAACAACCTTTGAATGGCTGCAACTAGGCTGGGGAGGATGCTGGCTGCTATTGCCGCATGCTGAACCACGTGCACACCTTCACCCTAGTTTTAGTATCTCTTGTCCAACAACTCTTTCCTCCCTGACTTTTGATTTGGGAAGCCTCGATCTGTCGACCTAGCGCACCTCGACAGGCCTGTCAGCTGGTAAAATTTCCCGCCACGTCAAAAAAACTTACAAGCATGAATGAGCGCAGTTACGAAATGAAGCTGTGCGTCCTGACTGAATCGCCGAGTACACCCCTCCCCCACCATTGTGCGTGCGTACGGTACGTGCCCCAACAGATGAGAGATGTCGAAATCTACGAATGATTGGTAATCAATTGCAAACCAACACTCATGCATGGAAACAATATTCGTATTAGTAATGAACAACTCTAAGGGGATTGAAAACATGGCAGAAATTTTTGTAGGAAATATTCCATTGTTTAGAAATACCATTTTTTTCGGAAAAGCAGAAAATTCCGAGAATGCCAAGATTGTTGTAAGTTAGTAAACTTCAGTTTTCGACGTACACAATGTCTGTCCATGCAAAAAACAGAAAATATGGCTGCACAAATAGAAGAATGTTTGCTATTAGTCTTTTAGTGAAGTTTATATCTAAATATCCTTTAAGAATTAATGTAATGTAAGGCATGGCGGTTTGCAAACAGTCTAAGTTTTGAGTATAAATTCTACTACGGTTTCCTGAAAATTCGCTATGCTTTTGCATTGGTTGGAATGCTGCTCAATAAGGCAAACAGAATTTCACTTGATTTCGCCGATAGGGACGTCATAGGCATAACAGTTTTCAGAAGAAGAGGTGGCGAGCATACGTAGCTTTCGATAAATTCTCATAGGTCCCACGAGTCGGCGCTTACCCAAGAGAATACTGGAACACCTCCCGGCATGGCTGGGAAAAGGCGAAACGAGGAGCATAAACAGCGCCATCCTCGCGCATGTTGTCGATTCCGGACATCATGTGGACCCCAACGGCGCTTTTCGTGTGATTTATAAGGTCCCATCGAGCTATTCGAAGCTACTGGGCCAGCGCCTGTTAGCAACAACAGAACCGGCCGCCATCAGGTTACGAAAACCAGTCTAGTGCGCACAGAAGGACCACGTTCAGGCTCCGCACCTACAGTGGTCGAAGGTCGACTAACGCTGCAACACTCCGCCTCTGACACTGACTGCTATTACTCCCCCCGCCTCTGTTTTAAGGTGAAGTTTAATCGATTTCTCTTATCATTGACTCATCCAAGCAAGAAACCTCATTGTCGGGAAAATGAACGTCTACAACGTAAGTCAACAGCGAATATGCTTTCGATCAATTATAAAACATTTTCTAATAAACTGCCTTCTGAAGGAGTGCATTAATATTGTATTCCGTTAACGGATGCGCGGTAAAGCCAAGAAAAGATTTGACAATTCTGGCCATTTCTTCCACGTTGCTAAAAATACTGATATTTTTCTACCTCAAACGGAAGAACATGCCTCTATCTTTATCTTGTGGCCATTTTCACTATCTTTGCTTAATTCTGGGTTCCGTTCTACGATTATGCATGCACGATATAGTGGCTACATAAATAGTGATACTTTGTTGAAACTGTTAATTCATATTGACCCAACTGTGAAAAACTCGACGCCTCGGTGGGATTCGAACCCACGCAGTAAGGGGAAGGCTTTAGCACAGCCAACGCGCTAACCATCTGTGCTACGAGGCCCCGCCGGACGACGCAAGTTTACTCACATTTGGGTCAAGTTACCCGCCCAACCTACTGCAACGTCTGGAATCCACCAAATATGATACAGTAGGTTGACTGCCCAAGCAGGATTTCCTAAGTAATTCATCTAGAATCCACCAGATGACTACTAGGCTCATGTAATGGATAGATATTTTGCATTAATATTTTGCTAGTTCTACTTATAAATTACTTGTGTAAAGAAGCTCGACTGCACACAAATCAATGTTCCATATGTTTAAAACTGTGAATGATTATTCGGTAGTAGTCGTGTCTGTGTCAACCCCCATAATCAAATAACACAACAATTTCGGCCTACCTAGACAAAAGATTGCCTATGTGCGTTATTATTGCACTTTGGGGCACGAAATATCACAGATCTGGAAATCTGGCTTTTTCTAATCTGGATGTCAACTGGGAAACGTTTTTTGAAATGGCACCCATGTGTAATCTCAGTCGACATGATAACAAGCTTAAAAAGAATCTGTGCCACACAAATCAGCGTTCCTGCCTTTTTTCACAGAGGGTAATTCGCCAGTGGAACTATTTGCCGGAGTATATTGTTAGTTCCCCTACCGTGAGCGTGTTCAAGAGACAACTGGATACTCACCTGCTAAAAGACAACCCGAACTGCCGATGCCTGATCTAACGGACTAATGAAATGACTATAAATATACAACTAACATGATTTCAACAGACCCCTTTTGTGCGTCAAACTTGACCCATATGGAAATTTTCGCAGTCCGGATGCGATTAACAAAGTTTTTTCACAATAGTTTCGCGAATACCACACCCTTTTCGCACTTATGTTCCATTATCAGATTTATGAATTCTCCGAACTAGCTCAGCCCTTCCGGATTGCAGGCTTTTGAATGGGCCACTTTCCGTCCACCTGCAGGAATCATGACCGCAAACTGGCTTCTTAAGTAACATGCATGTCCCGTTGAGTTTTGACGCCTTTATAAATCCAAACATATTTTAAGGGGAGCATGCACCAAATGCACTTTTTTGGCACGCACTGCGTGCTCTCATTCTGATGGCATGACATGCAACGACAGAATGTCCGCGAAACACATGTCTGGGCTAGTACCTGTGCTACCCAGAATGGTCTCACGTGGACCCAAACTAGCTGCCTCTTGGCAATTTGATGAATATAACGTAGTTACACCGCTGTGACTGATGGACTTCGGCCCAAATATTCATACATCAACTCGCGAAGCCTGAAGACCAACATTTAACTGCCCAGTACGCGGTAGCTTGGATTGTTATAGATTATTATCCAACGGATTCCCGCGATCAGCATCAGGCAAAAAAAATTTTCAAGTGCGACAAGCTCTCACAGCTCTGCCATGAAGAGGCAGAATATCGGCAAAGCACGAGTGTAAGGGGTTTTAGCGAGTACCTGTGCTGCTAGTATGGTACCGTGTAACCCTCAAACGTACTGCTAGCTGCCTGTCGGCAGTTAATGAATATTGCTCGGTTACCCAGCTGTTGCCAGAGAACTTCGACCAAAATATTCATTTATAAAATTTCGATCTGCGCCTTCAGACCTTAGTTTAGACTGATTTACTCCAGGTTAGCGAATAATTTCTGAGGCAATTAAAAAGCAACAGTTTTGAACTGGAGTATTTACCAGAATGCGGACGGGGAATGCTGGGAGACCCACTGTTGAGCCGAACCTCTCGCAGTTGTGCCATACAGTGGCAGAATATCGGCGAAACTCGCGTGTCTGGACTGTCAGTATGTGGTCTTGTAACCCTAATAAAGCTTAGTTCAGTAGAACTCTCGAGAGTAACTTACTCTCTTTTCAAAGAAAAACATGCTCAGATGCACGATTAAAGTCTAGGGCAGGCATTAGCATAAGCGGTTGTCCGACTATATCGCAACGCTCAGTTTCGTTCAAATTTAAAGGCATTTTACCTGATAAAATTGCGCAGACACATTTCCTGTACAATAAAGGGGCATTTACTGAAAGAGGCTGGACGAGTGAGCAGCACGCGCACCGTTAAATATGTCCAAAAAAATTCTCAAATCAGTTTCTCTCATCAGGTTTTATGAGATAGGCCACGTATCTTACTTTAAAAACCTGGCTAGAATAGAATTATTTTTGGCACTTTTTACGGGAATATAACGACCAACAACAGCAAGCAGCCAATGTGATTGGTACCGAGGTAGGTGGTGGGGCTGTTCTTCTAAAAAGGGACAGGAAGAAACCGCAGACTCAAGTCAGTCAGACACATGACCACAAACCATACACTGACAACAGGTCAGCGACAAAGAGAGAGAGAGATGGCGAAAAAGATGAGCAGTCTGCCTGCCGAGGCGATAGACATTCCGGGAACATGTGTCGTTGAATTAAACACCTGGGGAAACTTAGAGATTCCGGACTCATCCTCGAGTTCATCATCAGAAATATGGGGGAATGAAGGGGACACGTAATCAAACAAGTACGCAAATACTTTTGCCCTGAAAATACTTAAATCATAAGAGTTATAAGGCCTCGGGTATTTCATCAAAATGGCAACACCGGTGTTTACTTGTCTTTCATTGCTGACATTTCTGAAGAATGCACTGCTGGTTTTGAGAAACCCATTCCGACCTCGCATTTGAAATTTGAGCAGGGTAACGTAACCCGTGAAGCCCGACAACTGACATTTAACTGCCCAGTGGGCTGTAGCTTGGATTATTATTAATTATTAGCCAAACGCGTTCCCCAAAAATCGTCATATTGGGGAATATGTCTTTTAAGGCAATTTGATCGACGAAGATGCCCATAATTTCGTACAAAAGTTAACGACATCTCACATACAGTGAGTGGCCGATCTCATGAAATGTCGGCCGAAATTCTGAAATGTGTTTTCGATTGGGAAGGATTACTTAGGCGCGGTTGTAATACTAACTCTCTTGTGGCATAATCCTATAATATTTCGGATGTCAGCTTTTGAATACACCACTTTTTACCTCCCGTAGAAACCGAACTTGGTAAAAAATGACTACTTGAGTAGTATGCATTTTCCCCATTGATTTTCGATGGTCTTATAAATTCAAATATATTTTATAGCAACCACGAACAAAAATATGCTTTCTTTCAGTCATTTGATAAAGAGTCACGTCGACTTTCTAGTTTATACTCGAAAAAAGAATATAGTTAGGTTTTAAGAAGTCCTCTAATTGCCGAATTATTTAGAGCCTGATCAGCGGTTGCCTTAGCGCCTAACGATTTGAATCTGCAAGTTGAATGCGTTCCGCGTAAGGAAAATCATATATTCTCCCATGCCTTTAATCAGATGCCATATTGAGTCCATAAAATTTTGCAATGGATGCGGACTATGTTGTACATTTCATGAGAAACAGTGGTAAACGTACAGGTACAATGCCGTATGAATAGACATGTCACGGTCTTAAAAAATCTCATAATTAGAAAATTTTTGAAAGTTCAATTATATTCTTTACTCGAGTATAAAATATGAAGTTGGCTTAATTTTTTATCAAACGAGTGGAAGAAAAGTATCTTTTGCTCAAGTTTGTTTTATAAAATATATTTAAATTTTTATGACTGTCGAAAATCCCCGGGAAAAATGCATGCTTCCGAAGTAGTCATATTTCGCCAAACACGGTTTCTACGGGAGATGGAGAAAGAGTTAATTTTAATGCTAAGATTCTGCCGAGACCAAAATATTACACGATTATGTCGCAAGATAATCAAAATTACATCCGCTCCTAAGTAGTCCTTCCTAATCGAAAACGCATTTCACAATTTCAGCCAACATTTCATCAGATCGGTCACTCACTGTATGCTTGGGTATTTGCAGATGCTAGTAATATTCGTAGGCAGAATTTGAACATTTGCACGTGTTCCACCATTAGAGAACACTAACGTAAACAAAAGAAGATTTACGAAAAACATTTCACTGCCAACTAGAGGCCAGAATTTTTCAACTGGACACGGGAATAGTGATGATAAGTGTGCCTGAATAATTAAAAAGGAAAAAAATGCTTCTTTGTGTTGCATACCGGTTTCAGTTGTTTAACAAAAGTTCTACCGTTTTTCTAAAATCCTATCTTGTACGTCCGTAATAATACATACAGGATGTTCTTTGTTTCAACATACCTGTAATTTCCAGACATTTAAAAACAGCACATGAATAACCGCAAAAAGTTCCACCATCAAGTGGCCGTTTTAGCTTTAGGACATAAACAGAGATAATGAGCACACCACTAACCATTTGCACAGAATTCT